CTCTCTCTGCAGTGAAGCCTCCTTACACCACCACTGCCTGTTGAATCAGGAGGAATTCTTGCCCATTGTCTTCTGGAGACCCTGACTGCTCGGTGAAGATGGTGTCATGCCAGTGCAGTCTTGCTTGCTGGAGATGCAGGTGGCTCCTGCCCCTTATCCTTGGCTTAGCGATCATCATGGGCATCATTGCGCTGTCTGGCAGGGGCTGGCTGGAGTCGGAGCCTGTGTCAGGATCTGAGCGTCACCAAGCATCTTTGTGGGAGAACTGTGTTCAGCAGCCAGGTGATCCTAACTGGAACTGCGAGTCCCTCATGGACTACAGTAAGTGCTTGCAAAATGGGAGGTAGCAAAAGTGGTTGCAAAAGAGGGCTGGGTCACACCCAAGCTCACCATTCTTGGTTGCCCATGTCATCCCTGCCTATATCAAATACCTGTAAATCTTTACCCACCTTCTTTGGTTAAATAGTGTGCCCTATGGATCACGATGAGCAAAATGTCCTTTCCTCTAGGCCTAGGAAGGAAAGTCCAGTTACCTTATCATGCGTTGCTTCTTATGGGGCTGGGAGAAATCAGGACAGGCTAGTTTTTGCAGGACTGTCTCTACAAATGTTTCAGAATTAGAATGACACAAAACATTAAGCCTTATCTGCCTCAAGCCCATCCTTCAGTACAGCATGAAGAACTGATAGTAAAAAGAAAAGAAATGGGATATTTCCAAGTCAAATGAACACGTCCAGTTGTTTGTATGTTCCCTTGAATTTACTGCATGCTTTCTGCTAACAGCAATTTCAGCTCTGCAGCTCTAAGCTGCCTCTCCCTAAACTACCAAACTCTGATTATTGAGTTGATAAAGCACACTATTGCTAGGACAGCGTTCACAGGCCCAGAAGCTGGAATGCTGTGCCTACGACTTAGCTTGCTTCTTCAAGTGTTCTGGCAGGAGTGAGGGGGGATCTGAGTCAGTTTAGAAACGGGGAAATTTTCCTGGTTTTGGTGTCTTTTTGAAATGCAATTTACAATGGAGCAAGGTGTCTTTTTGAAGGTAGAAAGAACATGCAATTTCTTGTGTGTGTGTGCATGTGCCGGTGTGTTAAATTAGTTGAGAAAATCATTTCAAGGAGCAGAATACCATCATGTATATTTTAAAAGTAGCTAAAAAAGTTAGTAAATTATGTTTGGCTTTATACTCCATATGGATATTACTTTCCTATGCTTGAGGAATGGTTTTGGCTAGTACTAGAAACAAACAGTTTACTCATTACATTTGCTACTCTAAAATGCATTATTTAGAGTCAAATGTGGAGTTTTCCTTTAGAACAATAAATGTAGAAGAATCCCACTTTTCCCCCTTCTTCCCTAAGCAGAAGGAGCTGTTCCTTGAAATGTTGTTTTTTTTTAATAACCTATTTCGTGGAAGAGGAGTAAACACAGTGTTGTTACAAGAGAAAGATCCGAGTTGATTTGGAAACTTGTACACCTTGTTTTGCCCTGAATGCCGTGCATGGTGTATAGGTGGAAGCAAAACTTGCTTAAATTTTTCCTTCGTAACACTTATTGTTCCTACAAAATACATTTCATTTTGCTCACAAACAAGTTCAGTTTTATAAACATCTTCTATCTAAGGGTCTTTGGTTGCTTGGTTCTGGTGTGTTTGGGAATATGGTGGCTTTTTTTTACCATACTTTTTTGAAAGGAAGGAAATGAGCTCCTCTCAATATAGGAGCTTCATGTTCCCACATCCTTCCTACAAATGGAAGTAAAGCTAATGCAGTAGGATTGCACATTCATAAAAAGGGCTTCTGAATTTAGGCCTCAACTACACAAGGACCTTCCGTTTAATCTGAATTAACTTTTAAAGAAGATGAGATAAATTGCCACTTTACAAAGTGAAGAAAACTAAATTAAAACCACTTTCTTTCTGAGTAAGAATGTTTGCATGAGTTCCATGCACTTTAGTCAATCCACTGCTTCAATCCCCTGTATTACTTAGTATGGATTAGTTTTCCCAAATTTCCCTATGTAGAACTTTATTTACCTAAATGTCACTTTATCCAATTCAGCCTTGTTTTTTAACTAATCTTTATGGCTAAGTACAGCTGTTGAATCAAAAAGTTGGACGCCGGATTGATTAAATTTTAGCAGGTTAGTCTAAACTGCATAGATTGAACCAATACACAAATGAACAGGCATTCACTTTTGATTTCTGGAAATGTATCCACTGCCTGCAGTGGCCCAAGCCAGAGGGGACTGGAGCATACTTCCCTGATCTGTGGGAGCAGACAGCTTGGGCCAAGGCTAGTCTGCCCACCCGCCCTGCGAGGAGGGTTTTGCCAGGGAGGTGCAAAGCATCCTCTGGAGGGGATCTGGAACAGAAGTTCAATAACCTGATTTAACTTAAATCAATGAAGTCTGATACTGTATCCATCCAGGTTTATCTTAAACTAGTTTTGACCGTTTTGAAAGCAGTTTATGTGCACTGAACTGTTGTGTTACAGATTTGAACTGGTTTCCAATCACTTGTACCAGTTTATATGTAATTTCTGTCCCTAGTCTATATAAGGTTTATGATACATTTTTCTCAGATTAGGCAAAGGACATAACATGCCAGGTCATGGTCTGGAATGTTACTTTGTTTGACATGTCAGTATGCTAATATATGTGTGTGTGTGTGTGTGTGTGTGTGTTTAAAAAAAAAAAAAGAGTGCTTATGAAATGTAACTCAAATGGGCAAGGACCATGTTGCAGTGTAAAACAACTCGCATTCTGCTTATACTATTTAGTTTACCCCACCCTATATCATGCCTTAAGAAGAAAAAGGTGGCTCCCTCAGTAACATAACGCTATGTTGGACTGAGTTCTTTACACACAATTCTGTGAGTCTAGTGTTATGACTCAGTGTGCTTTCTCTGTGAATGCTGAGAAAAGGAAATGCAGCTGAAGCACTCTCTGCCTATGCAGGGGGAAAGAGGAGGGGGTCAATTCCTACACTGCACTGTTTCTTAAAATGCATCTGAAACTCGTGCCTACAGTGTCCTGCAATGAGTCAGGGGTGGGAAGGCAAAGAAAGGAGTATAGATTATCGTTTCATGACAGAAAAAGGGGGTTGTTTTCACTAACCATTTAGGCTTGAAGTCAGCAAGTTCCTGAGTGTCAGCTCTTACATGTTGCCAGTACACTAAGAAGAAAGAATAGGGCCACTACGTTGTATTTTGATTTAAGATAATGTAGCTCAGAAAACCTGTGGATGAAGCTCGCCCTATATGCCAAATCATACTATTCATACATACCATATTTGAAATGTCCTGATAAGGTCCCATTTCTCTCTAGCCTTTAATCTTAAAAATGAAATATTTTGGGCTAAGGACCAGTACTGATTGGTTAGAATGTCCTCATTCTAAATGTGTGGTTTTTAAGGTTCTTGGCTTCACAGTGATTTGAATTGTCACATGCATTTAATTTGAATCATCACATGCATTTCTCTCTTATGTGATGGTGAAGTATCTAACGTCGTAGTTATTACAAATATAACCAGCAAAGAAATAATCCTTTGGGATTTACATTAACTTTGCGGGGGGGGGGGGAATGCACCTGGCTCTTTAACAGGATGAAAAGGCTACAAGCTTTATGATCATGAGCCAGGCATCTATGAGTCATAAGTTCTGTAGCTGTGTAACAATAACAGTACCTGGGAGATGGGGAGTGGACCTTGATACAGAAGGCTTCCAGCCAAATGTGTGTTTGTATTCTTATCAGAGAGCTTACATGTATTAGGGAGGAATATTAGAGCTATATTGCATTTGCTTGATCTTGCTTCTCCATGCATACAATATTTTCTCCCATACAACACACACCCTTTTTCCAAAAACCAGTGGCTGAAAATTGAAGTGCACATTATATGTGAAAATACAGTAAGAGCAGTTTCTGTTTTATGAGGAGGGATTTATTTAAATTGCAGTGAGACAGGAATTTTCTTGGGCTGCTCATGATGTACAGAGCAGATTTTGTGGTATTTTTCAAAGTGAATGTCCCCCTCCAATGATGGGCTGAGGACCCCTGGTAGCCCCACCCCTGACTGCTGATTGCCTGAGAGGCCAGTCACTGATCTTCAGACTGCAGGACTGCATCTGGCTTCTTAAAAGATGGTACCAAAACCCTTTCACTTTTCTGAGTGGAGCCTTCACTGAGTCTATGGCTAAGTACAGACAGTCAGAAAGCCTGAAGCTAAACTGATTCAGTCTTTGCAGGTTAGTCTAAGCTGCAAAGATTGAACCAATAAGCAAATGAACAGACATTCACTTTGGATTCAGGAAATGCAGCCACATGCCTGCAGTGGCTCAAGCCAGAAGCCGGGGGCACTACAGCATGGTTCTCTGGCATGTAGCCAGTATGGGCTGTGTGGTCACTTGCTCTTTCTGCTGCCCCTGAGGTCTCTGGGATTTACAGTCCACAATCACAGCAGCAGGACTCTGCAGGGTTGCTCATCACTTCCTCTTCCTGCTTCCAGGTGACTTTGGGATTTGTAGTCCACAGCCACAGCCAGCACTAAGTAAACCAGCAGGGCAGCTCCGTGCTTGGGGGAAAGGAAGTATAACCCAGACCCCAGCAGGGGTTTGCCTGGGAGGGGCAGTGAGCCAGCCAGTGAGACCAGTGAGCCAGTTCTCACTGCTCCAGCTAGGGAGAAGAAGGGTGGAGCCATCCCTGTTCTCTGGAGCAGACAGCACAGCCTGGCCCAGAGCTGCAAAATGCTGGGATGCTGGGGGGTTCTGATTTAACTTGAACCTGGAAGGGGTCTGGGACAGAAGTTTCATAAACCGGTTTGACCTAAATCAATTAAGTCTGATATGACATTCAACCAGGTTTATCTTAAACCAGCTTCAGCCATTTTGAAACTGGTGCACTGAACTTCTAGGCTAGGGACAGGCATTCAAAAAGCCTGAGCCTGAATTGATTCAACCTTTGCAAGTTAGTCTAACCTGATGAGGCTGAAACAGTTTGTATTCACACAGATATTCTCTCTGGACTGTGTTGAATACACAGATATTCTCTCTGGACTGAGGAAATTCAGGCACATGCCTGCAGTGGCTCAGGCTAGAAGCCAGGGGTGCCAGAGAGGCCCTCCGTTTCCTTCCACAGTACTGAGCTGGGAGCAGGGGGCAGGACCTCTGACCAAAAAAAAGTTCTTATGAAATTTAACTCAAATGGGCAAGGACCATGTTGCAGTGTAAAAAAACTAGCATTCTGCTTGTACTATTTAGTTTACTCCACCCTATATCATGAGTTAAGAAAAGAACAGTTCAGCGTGGATCCTTCATTAATATAAA